CGTTGACGAAAACAAAGCTGTTTTCCCCATGTGTTCTGGTACCGAATTTGATAAAGTATGAATAGCGGAGACAATATCAATCCTAGAGGGTTTTACATCCTCAGAGAATTTTGGTCCATTAGCCAAACACGCTTCGGTAGGCTTTGACAAGGCAATATCAAAAGGGTTGACTTAGATTGGTTACAATGTATTGGATAGAATATTGTGGTTTTATAGGGCACAGGTGCCCGGAAAACCAAAAGGAATAAACCAAACCAAAGTTTTTTTTGTGCTCCGTTGTGCCAGAAGTAACCAATCTAATAGTCAACCCTTTTGATATTGCCTTGTCAAAGCCTACCGAAGCGTGTTTGGCTAGTGGACCAAAATTCTCTGAGGATGTAAAACCCTCTAGGATTGATATTGTCTCCGCTATTCATAGTTTATCAAATTTGGTACCAGACCCCATGGGGAAAACAGCTTTGTTTTTGTCAACAATGAAAAGGATGTCTTCCATGGTAGATTCCTTGTTTAGAATTGACCAGAGAGATTTCAAAAAGATTGCGTCGGTAAAAAGGGAATTAGCAGAAAAAAACATTATGCTTCTCGAAACTGACAAATCAGCAAAATTTGCTGTGTTGCCGATGAATGAGTTTCAGAAGAAGTCCGATGTAGCCGTCATGGGTGTGTTTAAATGATTCGACGGAAACCTAACAAATGATAAAAAGGGAAATAGTCGGCATGTTGAAGGACTGCGAATTTCCGTCGCAGGTAATCCAAATTAAACAGCACTTCCAGTGAGAAGTTGGGGATTAAGTTTTTTCTAAAAGACCACAAGGTAGACCTTCCCCTCCAGGTAGTGGTCAACAAAAATGGCACCTGGCGAAAATTGGTCTCTTGTTTCCTTCAGAATGCTTTGTCGGCCTTGGAAGTTAGAAGTCCATTGTCACTACGTTCTTCAGATGATTTGGTTACGGAGCTGCAGCCCTTTCATGGGAGACCTTGTTCGGTCTTTTCAATGGATATAAAAGACCTTTATTATTCGCTAGATCCCAAAACTCTTCTCAACCGAGTTAGTAATTTTTTGGAAAACAACCTCGTAAGGTTTCAATCACAGTTTGGAATTTCGGTACCGGATTGCCTTAGAATTTTAGAATTGTACCTCCAGGCAATGGTGGTAAAGTATGATGGTCAAAATTTCATTCAATTAAAAACAAGGAATATGTATTGGTTCGGCCGTGGCCCCAGTCCTTTTGGAGATTTGACTTAGCTTCTTGGATATGCGTCTAGTTGGTCTCATTCAAAGCCGTTCTCCAGGTGTCATCCTCTTACGGCGCTATGTAGACAATATCCTGGTGCACTACCGATTCTTCACTGTCAGTGTTCGTAGAAAACTTTGTCTATGAGAGTGTGCCAGAGCTGCAATTCTTAGTAGAAAGACCTGTAAATGACTGCCTGCAGTCTTTAGGTATACAGCTAAAAACACCCTCCGGTTTGTGTTGGCAGTATGGAAAAACGGAAGACAAACCGCTCCTGCCTTTCAAAAGTTGTCACTCGAAGAATATCAAGGCTGGCATAGTCAGGAATTTAGTAGATAGTGCACTTAGGAAATCTTGTTCGCACTCCACTGGTTCTGCGCTCTAACGCCTAACGCCTTTTTAATTGTTTCAGCGTGGCAGGTTTTCCCGAGGATTATGTGTTCAGACAGTTGTTGTACTGGATTAATATGAAAAAGGAATGTTCAAAGGTTTGTGAATCTGCCAGGCGTGTTGTTCTCTCTTTCTTCCATCGTATTTCTCATCATCTAAAATCAGCCGGCAAGCGCTACGGCATTAGCACTGTGTTCAGAAATGATTTCAAACTAAGTCGGTTGACCCCGTTCAACTCGGCCAGAACTGGACGTGCCAAAAAACAGAGAAAAAGATGTTGATTGTGTGTCGGGCGTAGTTTACAAGATTCCTTTTGCCTGTGGGTTATGTTACATTGGACAAACGAAGCGGTGTTTGAATAATCGTTTAACTGAACACAAACATTATATTAGAAACAAAGATCAGTATTCAGAAATGTCAAAACATGTGTTAGAATGTAATAATTGTTTACCTCTATGGAATTCCACATCGGTTATGTTGACTTACTAGTAATAGTCCCTTACTATTATTAGCCACGGAAATGCAGTAAATAGGCCGTCTTTTAATTTGGACACGGAGTTGAAAAGACTTCTACAAATTTGATTGTCTGGAGGTTACCTTTATATCTTTGTAGGATGTTGTGTGTTCGAGTTTAAGTTTCACGCCTGCCCTTTGTTTCGGGTGTGACGAATGTCGGGGGTTGTTCGCTTTTGTCCATCCATGTTTGATCTTTCCCCTATTGGGTCACCTCCCTGCAGCCCTTTCTTTTGTGATGTTATCAGGACCTCACTGAGGTGGGTTAAGGGATGCTGAACTGAAATTTTGATTCCACAAAACACGCAATAAAAGCGTGCAACGGGATGCTACAAACACTACAACATCACTCATACAGCGATATCTCGAACGGATGACCGTTTTTTTTCAAGAAAAGGAGGTGCATTTGACAGAGATGTTCACGTCATGTTTCTCCGAGAAGGTAAGGGAATGGTCTCGCGTGTTCTCTGCCTCGCCGCCTTGAGGGAGCAAAGTGAAGAGAGGAGGAAACTAGGTATCTTGACGTCACGCGCCTCGTCGGCCTGGTTCAATCTCAACCTCTTTTTCCAGAAATACGGCCGTCCATTCGAGATATCGCCTTACGAGCAGGAGTGTAGCGTCCCCCCTACATCTCCCGCATTATTTTTTCTGAAATCCAAATTTCGGTTCACCATCCCTTTGAGAGATCTCCCCCTCCCCCCTTTTGTTTGAGTTAGAACGGTACCGGTGTGGCTATTGGCCAATGTCCTCCCTCTCTTGTGTGTTCGGGAAAAAGAAGTTCATTCTCTCCCTTTTTCCATTCCTTTTGGTTTTCCGGGCACTTGTGCCCTATAAAACCACAATATTCTGTCCAATAAATTTCAGCTGTGCTTGAGACTTTGTGTTGTGTTGTCCTTTTTTACCCCCCAGTCCCGGGGTTTTGTCCAAAATGTTGAAACGTCCTTGAATGTAATTGAATTACTGTTTCTAAGTGCTCATACTCTACTCAAGATGTTTTGCAGGGAAAGCAACTTGAGTAGTAACCTAATTACTATATTAAGCTGGTAATTAGTAACTTATCCTTACACCTTTGTGAAGTATCGTGTCCAGCACTGCTTTTAACACACAGCTCTTCGTGTCTGGTACTATTAGCGTTTTAGAGAGCAGGTGTTGATCTCTGATATACTATAGAGCTGTTGCCTGGTATGTTTGCCAAATTGTTGGCATGCAATTTTGTATTGCACAACAGGTGGTGAAAGTATTGTTTTATTCTAGTGCAAAGAAATGTTAGAGTTCAAAATTTTTAGAACGGGAAATGTTGCTTGGGAAAGATGTGTAAATTTACCACTATAGAGGCTATGCAAAACCAAAACTTAATTTTTGAAGATCTTAAGTACACCAACACGCAGGCGCTGACATCACGCTGCTGCGGTGGCGCTGCTATTGGCAGGGTGCATGCACAGACACTCCACTTCACACAAATCTGGTTTCTGCGTACGCGCAGTGCCCACATGTCATGTGGAAACTGCGTTTGCCCACACCTCTCGAGGGCTTGTTTGTAAACTGTGTGTTGGCCTGTAGAGTTACTTCCTTTCCCCAAATGCACTCATGAATGAGTGTTTGATCACATTCCATTGTACTCTGACTGTGGGCAAAAGAAAAAAATACATGGATATGAGTTTTCTTTTGGGGAACTTTTTGTTGCCTTCTGGATTTTCAATTTTATGGTGCAATCCTATACTGTACCTGGCACAAATGAATGCGGTTGATTTCAATCTTTATGAGAATCAAAGTCCACATGTGTTAGTTCACAGCCCAGCAGGTGCATATGTGGAAGGCAAGCAAAGTACATGCCACATGCACAGATGCTGAAAATAGCACTGACCAGAAGCACTTTTCTGAAATGGTCCATTGGGCGTTTTGCTAAATTACCCAAGCGCCAAGGAGCATATTCATGCTACAGTCTAAGCTCATTACAACAGACCTGGTTACAACAGACATTTGGATATAACATACCGATTTGTGAAATTCGGTACCATTGACTCAACTTCATATCTGCATACAACATACTCCTTTAACAACAGACCGAAATCTTGGTCAAAATCAAGGTCTCTTATATCGAGCTTAGACTGTACAACTGTAGTTATATGTGCGAGAGTCTGGAACGGTAACTTTTCTAAAGCAAATCTAAAACAAATGGCACATGTATTCAGGTAAGACGAGCGTGTACAGCACCCGTGTCCACATTCTCCGTGGTGCTTGGGTAATTTGCCAAAAGATGTATTGCGAGTCTTTTTTACCTTTCTTTGCCAGTGTAATTACTTGCTTGTGATACAAAGAGAACGGATTGACTCCAGCGATTTCACGAAAGTAGTTAGCCGCAGCTTGAGTGTGCCGAGTTTCAAAAACATTTTTCTCAAAATCGCAATTGCTTTTGTGTTTTTCTCATAGTTCAGCTTCAAGTCACGGTGAGACTTTGTGCAAATAGAGATTATTATTAACTTCAGATAGCATGAATGCCCCCGTTATCCCTGTTATCTCGCTGTTAGATGCCACAAGGCAGGTGCAAGCGTACCCGATTGCCAGCTGCGCGCTTTGCTTCCCGCCGGTGGTTGGCGAGTAAAACAGGGGAAAAACTAGGAAGAATGAAGCTTCGGTTTTGGTAGCGAGCAAAATATGATTTTTTTTCATTTACTAGAGTGAATCTGGGGGAACAAGGGAGCGTTTTGGAATTGGGAAGCCACCAGCATTCAGATGATGCCATTAGATTAGATAGCTTAAAAACAAAAATGTCAGACAGCCTCTGCTCCTGACCTCATCAGACAGCCTAATAATCTCTGCTTCTGAGCATGTAAAACTCATTGCATGCCCTTACTTATGCAGGTGTTCGTCGAGTACCGCAACCAAGGTGACAACTTGTAGAAGTGGAAGTGACATTCTTCAATTTTTTGGGAAATACCTCATACTTCGAGCAGGTGGATGGCAAAGTATGCCTGTTGCATTCTTAGGGAAATATATATTAAAACTGACACTGACCACACAAGGTGTGCTTTCTGCAACTGCATGCATCACATCGGTGGCATCCAGAAACAACACCTTTCACTGCACTTTGCCCAGTTTATTGAGCCGTCTCAACAGCAGCTATCGAATTTACACAAGGATGTTGCACAGTAGCCTCCGTGTACAGCCAAACAACAAGGCATATTACAAACACTGAAGAATGTCACAAGAATCTCGCAGTCTAACGGAGAAACTTATGAGGAGGGATATCCCAATACATGCTCACCATTGGGAGCATTGAGCAAGGACCCCTTCACTGCCTTAGAGTCTCATGTCTGAGGGTCCTCACTCAATGCACCCATAATCACAGCAATATTCTCACCCCTGTAATTGCCCCACAGTGCCATCACCTGTTCCAAATAAGTGATACTGGTGTAGTGTCACCCCCAACAGAAATATAGCAAGTAAACAACACCAATATACACTATACTTTGCAAACCAACAAATGCACAACACTGCCACTGTGCAAGTAGTCCAGACAACTGGGTGGTGATATCAATACAGCAGGTCTGCAATACTGTGGACCAAACAAATAAAGCATGCAGGCATGGCTGAACCACAGCAGCTGGATGTATCTTTGGCATGGACTGACATGAAACATACACATCAGCAAGGCAGTTATAGTGAAGAAAGCGTATTTCTGCTGCAGGTGCACCACTGAACGGAGCCAAGACAAGTCCAGTTGTGTGCACATATGAATTTGATCTGTGCTTTGCTTGAAACCTCCTTGTGGTTGGAAGAATGTTGAGCTAATAGGAGATTTAAACAAGACGCATGTCTACTCACCGACTTGTTTCAAAAGCCTCCAGAATAGTTATGCATATTTTAAAGTAATGCCTTGCATAAGGTAAAGTGAGCATTCTGCTGAGGATAGTCATTATGTTTTCCCATCTTTTTCAATCCTACTTTAGCAGCAGGTCAATAGCCGGCAGAATTTTGTGCGAACTGAATGCCGTGCCAGAGCTAGATCCAGTGGCCATGGGTGACTTAAAGGGATCATCTTCCCAAATATGAAAGACAAAATAGACACTATAACTAGACACGGGCCTGGAGAATTGGCCCAATACTGAGTAGGGGCTGTATGCAACACCATCAGATGGGGGTGAACAAAGTAGAGATGGAGAATTGCCCTTTGAAGTCAACAAGGAAGGACCATGGTTTCACTGGCCTAACTGAAAGAGATCCCTCAAACTTTATGCATACTGTTTACATATAAAAATATTAATCTTTGTACAAACACGAAGCGGGCGACAAAAATGGACATGAATGTACAAACACTCCTCCCTAACACAGTTAAGGCGACTTTGTATCAGCAAATGGCAGCAACCAGGTCAAGCTGTCGCATCCTATGTAAGGGGTCGAGAAACTTTGAACTCATGTAAAAGCACTTGCTCCACAGGTGTTTGCCCCAAACCTGCCTGCAGATGCTGCTTATGGAAAGCATTAAACTACCACAGCTTCACATGTGCACCTGCAACTTGAGTTTTGGCTGTAACACTGCCGCGCTCTGATTGCCTACAGGAACTGGCTTACTCCCATGCAAATGCTGCTTCAAAGCGCTTTGCAAAACGTGTCACTGAGACATCGCTACAGACGACCCTGATCTGCAAGTGTCACTCCCAAACGCCTGCTGCTGATCGAACCCTGGAGCTTCTCTGGCTTAGCCGTTGAACTGAGGATGCCCCCAGAAACAACTAGACACTTTTTTGTCGGCATGGTAGTTTCACTTTGACACACAACAGCACTAAAATAGACGTGCGATGGTTCTCTCACGCTCTTCTGCTAGGCACAACAACCTGTAATCTTTACGCTAGCTATGGTGGCCTAGGTTTAACTGCTATAGCGTGCCCAAGAGAGGCTTGAAAGTTTCTGCAGTGTCTCCAATCCACACAACAGCTTCCCAAAAGATGTTGGGTCTGTTCAGTTGTCTAGAGACTGAAAAAATACTCGGAACTTTCTGGCGAGGAATGGAAACAGTGGAATATTCTCCCCAAACCTTCAACCTGCAAGTTAAAACAACAAAGCTATGCTTGCTTTTCACATAAATAGTGCTCTTAGTTGCTGTGTACAGCATAATGCAACTGAGCTGCCTCTCTCTTCTCGATATGTGCTCCAGTTGATCTTTGTTTTCATGCTTTAACTGCAGATTTTTGAATTGTACAATATGTCTCAAGCTTTCTGTAAAAGTGAGTATCTGGACGTTGCAGAATTAGGAGCAGTGTAGTTTCACTCAACAAATCTGTGCATATAAATGCATCATGGGATAACAAAGGGAAGTTAAGATGGCTAGGAACAGGCAGTTGTGAATTTGAAACAGTATTCTGCCAACCAACAATGGGTTTTACCATCATAGGTGAGGGAGACTATTTGGTGTACCCTGCCAGATAATGCATCAGCCTGCATTAGTGAAGAAACATGCCTTCACCACATGTATGAATAGTCTGCAGTATGTTTCCAGGCCTGGCTCGAGGTGCCCTTCCCTGGTGTCCTGCACTAGCCTGCCACAAGAGTGACAATTCCCAAAGCAGGTCTTTCGATTTTTGTTTTTTCAGACATAGCTGCTCGCAATATTATGTGTCTAGGGGGCTACAAATTGTGTTCTCTTTGCACTGTACTGGCTTCATAATACTGTGTAGTACCAGAGTACTCTTCAATTCAAACTGTTTCAAAATACTCTTGGGGTGTTGTGGAACAAAAAGGAAGACTTTCATTTTTTTTATAATTATTAAATAGTTGCCATTTTCATTACAAAACTCTAGCTGGTTGTGAATGATTTAATACTGCAAATGTCGTCTTGGAGAAGCAGCTTTGTCTGGTGGTGCTGACTTCTTTTTATGGCATGAAAATCACGAGATTCAGAGGCCATCCCACACAGCAGTGTCACAGACGATCATATCAAAAGAGTATTTGAGCAGGGGTTGCTACCAACCATACGGGGTACTTTCAAGTGCAGGAGCTTTCCCATCACCTGGCCTTAGTTAGGTTTTGGATACATGCTACGAGGTCGTACAGAATTTCACATTAACAAGCGATGGTGCACCGCAGTGGCAGCAAGCCTTTGCAGACGAGTATCCAATTGTATGTAAAACTTGTTGCATTTAAGTGATTTTCAAATGGCTTGCGTAGTCGCTGGACGGTTTGAAGCGACATTCGCAAATTTGGTCAGTGCCCAACACACTCGGCCTGCATAAATCTCACAATATCAAAAGACACCCGAACGCCGTTTCTATCTGCAGCAACCAGTCGCTACAGCGTCGTGTCCAGAAGAGTCAAGGACCGTGCAATGGTGTCGTCCTGGAAACATTCATGTGACTTAGTGGATAAGGTTTCATCTCTGGTAAAAGTGCAACAAATACGAATGGGAAACCCTGATTAAATTTGGACTGCACAGCTGAGAATAGTATTTTTACTAAAGCATGGGTATATGAGCTCGAAAGACAATACAAGTTGAGTGCACTAGATCATGACTTTGTTTCAGAAATTTAAAATTGTTGTGGGCATAGATGTTTCGAGTTCCTTGTAGCCTTTCTACCTAACCTCTGCACACCTGGTATGTCTCTTAAGCAACTGCTGTGACTAAATCAAGCTCTATTTCATCTGCCACTGCCTTTGCCCTGTGCATTTGTAGTGGGTGTGGGGGGAAGTGTCGGTAGAGGGGGATATTTGAAATGCTTCCATTTTTATTGCAGTGTATTTTAGCTAACCGAATAAAACCTGCAAAATAAGCGATTGTTGGCCTGGGTAATGGTTGCAATTGCGAGTAACAACAGGCAAACAACCATCGATCCATGGTGTTTCTCTGTATGCTCTTGTAGGCCTGTAAACCCCCTTTGCACTACTTTCCGGGAATTCTGAGAATGGTGTTCCTTCAGCCTCACTCTTGCAGCTTGACTTGTTTACAGTCGTTGCCGGAGCTCCGGGTCAAAAGAAGCACCACTCCCAGAATTCCTGAAACATGGCATGCTCGTAACATTCGGGATTCTCGGCGGTCATGGGCAAAATGTTTATTAGCACTGCTGCATTACATAACCCTAGATTGTGCCAAACCAAACTACAACATTTTGTCAGTGTACCTATTCCTATAGCGGGCATCGACCTTAAAGAGCCCCTGAAAGGAAAAAAATCACTTTTTTTTAAACAGTCTGGTTATTTATTTCTTGACACGCATGTCAAAAAAATTAATTTTACGCAAAAAAAAAACACATTTTACCAATATTGACGGCAGGAGGTTTATTTGAATTTTGCTCGCTAACTCCATGACGTCACGGAATGGTCATTTGCTCAATGAGATGGTAATTCACTCTTTTTACCTCAGTGAAGGCAAAGCTGATCCACCTCTCCTCCATGCACCCAAAATGCCAAGAGAGAAAACGAGTGGAAAGGAGGTGACTACCGATTGCTAAATCAAGTTTCACGCCGTCAATATTGCTCTAAAAAGAAAAGAAAATTGTTTTTTGCATAAACCTAATTTTTGACACACGTGTCCCAAGCAGACTGTTTAAGAAAAAAGCATTTTTCTTTTCAGGGGCCCTTTAAAAGGACACTGACACCCCCCCCCCCCCACATTATTTTTTGTATTATTTTTAGTTTGGCAATCTGTTATTGTGTCAGAAGACTACCCAATCAATATTTTGCTACAGCGTCACATATATTTTTAATAAAATAATAATAATAAAAAAATGCAACTGCTCGAAACCGAAACTGGACTGGGGAGGAAGAAGAAATATAGTGTTGCCAAAAGTCACGTAACTGTGCAACGTTTTTTTTTCTTTTTCAATTAACATGTTTGCAGCTTTTTAGATGTCACAGAAAATGGCTATCGTATTTTTCTTCTATTTGTAATATTGAGTGTGTAACTTCGATGACCTACAACTTTGATTACCTTTGGTGGTTGTGTCTAAACCATAGAAAACGGCACGTGACCACTGAGAAGAGAGTAAGCGCGACTCAAACCCGGAAGTTCTCGTTCGGCGGTTTTCGGGCAGAAAGAAAACGAATTTCGAGCCGCAAATTGTGTTAGGGGTACTTAGGCTCTCACACGTCATGTACAAATAAAAATCTTGGCGAGCATAAAATACCCTGTCAGTGTCCCTTTAACCACATGAAAAGTTAATAATGTGCCCCTACTTGATATGCATGATTTCCCACAGTTACAATAGGTTTACAATAGGTGGAAAACAGGTGGCACAGGTTAGCAAGTTTGATGTTTATAGTGGAAGAGCTTTGCACTACAGGGGGAGCTTACCTTGGAACACATTTGCATGAACTCGTCCATGGTAACGACACCATCCCGGTTCACGTCCATTTTCTGGATAGCAAAATACAGAGGGTTATAGAACTTGCTAAGACTGGAGCTTGGACTAGTTGGTTGAACGTGTCTAAAACGATGAGAACAGCACACAAGGGACGAACGCGGAAAAAAGAACAAACGGCACTAACAACTAAAGTATTATTTTCAAGATTGAAATATATGCCAGCAAACGGGATACATAGAAATAATATACAAAAAGCCTTGAAACACTTGCGAATGTCTCCCCTACACAACTGGAAACCTCAACTACCTGGATAATGACAATGAAGGAGGTCTCACGCAGTTTTCTTTCAGCTGTTGTTTTCGCTTTGATAATTTCTCTGGTTAAAGTCCGACCTACAGAATCGTCTTCTACCAGGGAAAAAACTGGTTCCCAATTTCCTTCTCTCCATTCCCTCTCGCCCACTTTTCCCCTCCTCTCTACACAGGAGTGGATCTCTGAACTATTCCCGGTAGAGAGAAGGAGAGTCTCCCTCTTTCTCAAATGGAACGGAGGAATTGAGGGAGAGTTTCCTTCTCTCTACTTGTTGGTCGGCCTTTAATTACCGTATTTACTCGAGTAGTAGTTGCACTGTTTATGAAAAAAACATGAGGGTTCGCTTTTCCGCGGAGAATGCTGATTGCCAATCACCGCGATCGACAACATGAATCCAGCGGTTTACAGGACAGAGATAACGCATGCGTGAAGATACCATCTGTGAAGGTTGCATTTGTATGGAGAATCGTGTTCTCGTCTAATTATTCGCTATGTTATTTATGCGCAGCGCAATGATTGGCTATATATGTGCTTTGTGGGAAAGTAGAAGTAAGGGCCTTGTTCATAAATAGTGCGGCTATTACTTGAGTAAATATGGTATTGGCCGCTTCTATTCAAGATAACGCAAGATTCAATGCAAACAAGTCGGTCAAGCTCGCATAGAAGTGCATGGCAGCTCAGAAAAACATTGAAACCGTTTGTCGATAGCGTCACAAGAGTAGTTTATTCCATCCCCCTTAACTGTGGAAATCAATATATGGGCCAAGCAGGCAGATGTATTAATGAGTGCCTACATTCACAAACTGGTTTCAGGACACCTTGGCGTGCACTGCCGCGATTGTGGCTGGGAGACTGAATCGAAGAAATGTGTTGGGTATCTTAAATAGAAGCATGCGAACAGTTAACCGGTGAAATTATTGAGGCCAAAGCTACACGCAGCTGAAAGAAACCTGTGAAGCACTCTTTCATTGCCATTTTTCAAGAAGTTTATGTTTCTAGATCTGTATATAGAGTGACCACCCGTCCCGCGACTCGCGGGACAGTCCCGCATTGAGGGCACGTGTCCCGCGTCCCGCAAGAAATATCAAAATCTTCAAAATGTTCCACATTTCACACTGCTGTAAAATTCACTACGCAACTCATGGCTCTGCTGAACAACGGGGCACGGGGAAGTGCGCAGGTCGCTGACAATCGTGTGAATCGTGATGGTACACCATTTTCTATCCAAGCATTGCGGGAAGCGACCATCGTTCTCGCGGGAGATTGAGGCGCATGCGCCGTTGTGCCTCTCTTCGCTTGGTGGCAATATATTGCGAGAGCAAATTTCTCGCCAAAAGTTGAAAATAGAGTTGTTTTTTTTAGTGAATACGATTACACTGGGCAAAGAGACTGTCACTCACAACGGTAAAAAACAAAACAAAAAAACAACAACAACGTATGGTTCGAAGTTTCTGTTAGAGCATGTTGTTAAAAATAAGAATCGATAGGAAACAAGAAGCCATTAAAGATTTCCTGTTTCTTCTTTCCTTTTGATGCATTGAGTTCTGCTGCAGTTGATTCTATGTTTTCAACTTAGAACACATTTATTAACATATGTGTCATTAAAACTTAAAATATATCACAGAGAGTGATAATTATTCGAGCTTAATTGCCACAATACAATTTGCAGCTGTATAATATACTTTGGGACAAAACAGGATATCAAATGTGTTAGGAGAACCACATTTCGTGGCGTCTGTTGATAAATTTCCTCGAATAGTTAGTTTTTCCATGACACTTCTTAAAGGGGTACGGAAACAAAAATTGAAATATTCAAATTTCGTTCGGAAATGAATCAAGCATGACGGGTAGTAACCGTAAATGATAATCGCACGTTTTTATTTTGAACAACTTGATACATTTTTCGTTACAAACGGTGCGCTTGAGCAAGCGCTCGAAGAGAAGCGAACGGAGAGCGCGATGCGCCATGGGATATACGGCGCAAACAAAAACAGAAAGAAAAGATTTCCCGCGTTCGTGGATTAGCAAGGCAGGCGTGGTTACGAGCTTTGCCCTTGGTGGCATTGTCAGCGTTGTGGTGGTGTCAATAGCGTCAGCGCGTTACAACCGAGCCGTTCGAAGTACCCGTGGGGTGACGAGCGTGTGGCTGGCCCAAGGAGCACGTAGCTTCCACAACACTGTCAGCTTAGGGCTGAACGGGGTGGGGAAAGCAACTTTTGTTCGAGTTTTGAGCGATGGGCTAATCTTCTAGGGGGAGAGTGCCTGTGTCCGGTTGCACGAACGAGGGTCCGAGAAAGAGGGGAGTCCTTCCTTTCCGTCTTCTTGGACCGTTTGGTACAATGCGCGACTTGTGAGTTGAGGAGGAAAGCTAAGAGGGAAAATGTTGAAGTGCCAAAGAGCGGTGCTGCTCCAAAGGAATCTGCCACGTCACGACTACGTAGCAGATTCCACAACGTTGCTAGACTACCTCCCAAATAGGCTCCACATGCATCCGCCAGATGCACATTGAAAGATCACTTATTTAGCTTTAAAATTAGTTTTCTTGTGCCTAAATTTCAACGGAAGACTGGTGTTTTTGAGGTTAGGGTGCAACATGCAATATATTCAAGCTAGAAAATGAGTGCTGGAATTTCGTTTCCCTATTCCTTTAAACTAGGGTGGGGCACAAGGAAATAAAAAAAAATGTTTCTTGCTTCTGCCCTAGTCGCTGGTTAAAAAGCATCATGGTAAACTTCAACCAGCTTGACTGCGTGCTAAATTCATTTTTGCAGTTGCCACAGTCGAAATATAATACCGTTCATCTCTTAACCTCCCTCCCTCCCTCCCTCCCTCCCTCCCTCCCTCCCTCCCTCCCTCCCTCCCTTCCCCTCCTCTCCTCTCCCCTCCCCTTCAGAAATGACGCCAAATCCAGAAGTTTCTTAAACTTCTCTGAATTTGGCGCCGCTTGCACTGGATTGTTGCACCCAAGGCGGTTAAAAGTGGAAGGAGAGAGCATGACGTCAGCCCCGTAGCTTCCGCAAGCAACCCTCTTGTAGTAGATGAGTGTCCTCTCTTTAACGAAAAAAAACAAACAATGAGTGTGCCGGCGAGCTGGTGAGAATTAATCATTATGTGACACCTGAGGCTGGTGCAGAAAAATTAAAGAACTTTCAAGTAGAAGGAACATACCATACAGAAAAGAATGTCTCAAAATATTGAGACGTTCTCCTCTGATGTCTTTTCCTTCGACTTGAAAGTTTCTTCATTTTTACACACCACAGTCTCAGGTGTTACATTAAGATCAATTGTCCTCTCCGAATATTTTCAAGCTCCTCGCTTGTGCTGACCAAGCAAGAAGCAGCGAGAGTTAGAAAAGCTATGGGAAAGCGGCCCCCAGAACAAACAGAACAATGCGTCGTCTGCTCGTAGAGCAAAGGGGGAGCACAGACTATCTGCAACTTATATGTTTTCGGGAGGAATGTTTGTGGGGGTCGAAAATGCTTGAATAAATAAAATACAGTAGAACCTCGTTATAACAAAGTTGAAGGAGCGGTCGTAATTATTTCGTTATAACCATTAGTTTGTTATAGCCAATGTACATTTCTTCCCACTATTAGTAAGAAAGGGGAATTATGATTGCTTTGTTATATCCATTAGTTTGTTATATCCCATTTTGTTATAACGGGGTTATGCTGTAGTCAATATTTTTTCTGTCATGCTTATTTGATGGAATGCAGAACTTGACCTCAGATGTATATAGAATGGATATTTCTAAACATTTGTGGGTTGAAGAATGGCAATTTCAAGGCAAAGTATAACAAACTATCCTCACTGAAATACATAGTTAAATCAAACTTAAGGGGATATACTAAAACATACGGATGGTGATAATATAAAACAATGTCAGCAATGTAAGGAATATTAAATGAATTGTAAAAACAACTGCGCTGTAAGCAACGGGTGGCGCTGCGCTGACGCACACCTAGTGTACTGATCAGAATTACGTGCTTTCGACTACAGACTACCGCGAATAAAAAAGTAACTGTGACTAGTTATTTCAGAAAGCAATTTACATGCTCTCTTGATCATTTCATTTATGCTAAGTGCCTACATATTATGATGCAGCCACCTGCGTTCACGGCAAAGAATATCCAGGATGTCCACCGCTTGAACTTCAATGTCGCGTTGAATATTCAAAAGCACGAGACCGAGCAGTCGCTTACTCGAAGTGGGTGCTCTCGGGTATGTTTTCAATCATCGTAATGAAGAGAATGAGCGCTCAGCTTCCTCCGTTGTTATGCGCAGAGTCGCTAGGATCTTGAGGAGATGATAGACGTTTGGGAATAGGGCCTCCGGAAAGAGGGCGACCGCTTGTAGCGCAGATGTGACAAGTGTTTCACATTTCTCCATCTTTCATTGGACACCTAAAATTTCCCTATTTTGGCGAAGTTTCCCTCACTTCGTGAAATATCCCTCCATCGAGACGCCCGTCTCGATGGTCGCTCACGGATGCGATGAAGTCCGTCTTGCTTTCTGCTTTGCATGTCGATGTGGCATCCGATGCAATTCGTTATTTGATTAATCTTTTCGTTGCACGGAACATCAGAAACTCCGAAGAGCCTTCCTATTCTCACTATGCACAGGCGCAAGGGTATTCAAGTTTGTTTCCACGTTCGGCGTGTGGTTTCATTTCTCCGAGTGACAGAACGACGAGTTCGGACTAATGACTTCTCATCACCCCGAGGATACGTCACTGCTGCATTTGGACCACACTGCAGGATCAAGCGGCCTAGCAAAAATAAGACTCTTTCCTTCGGCATCTTGTGTGGCACAATTTTGTTAAACCATTATTACAGGGGTTCTCAGCCATTAATGTTTCGCAGACCCCTTGGGGATCGGCGGGGATGATATGGAGGCCCCGTTCGTGGAAAAGGGAAAGTGTAGGTTAATTATGATAAAAATTTCGTAAATGGATATAACTAAGTGCTAGTGTGAAGTAAACTTCTCCCATTGACGTATACACGAGAAAATGCACCCGAAAATTGTAACGTTTCTTCTCTATCTAAGAAAAAAAAAAACTTTTATTGCCGGGCTTGACTGAGGAGGCTGAGCTTCGTGGACCCCTAGAATGCCTTCACAGACCCCCATTTGAAAACCACTGCTTTAAAAGATAATAGATTTTGCTTTTGTGATTATTCAGAATTACCCTCGCCCTATATATGGGCCCCTGGTGTTTGTGGGAGAACGGTTGCTCTTATATTTCAGCGTCGAGATTATTATTATATATATATTTTTTTTTGCTGCTTAATTTCTTGTGACAGTATAGCCCGCCGGTAACAGCCAGGCGGCGCCAGTACAGTGAGAGCCCAAGGTTATACCCTGCCTCGGTGTAACTGGGCAAAGGGTGAACGATAAGCCCCACATTGCGTGCCGACGGCTTCGATATGCGCTACGTATACGAGCGCAACGCACACATATTGGAGCATGACACAGCATGCAGAAAGATTGGCCGCACTTGTTTAAGGCCAATTGTAATTGCCATGTAGTGCACAACGCTGCCAAGCACGCAGTGAAGTCTTTAAAGTTTGATGTGAAAACCCTTGTACTAAAGGTCTTCAAAGAGTTTTCTTCTAGTTCGAAATGTGTAGAGGAATTGAAAATGTTTTTTGACTTCTGTGATCAGGAATATAGCAAAGTGCTGGGTCATATTTCTGTCTGTTGGTTAAGCTTGTTTACGGCCTTAGACAGACTGATTAGGCCCGCTTCAGACGGGGCAACTTTTCCAGCAATTTTGAGGTTGCTGGCGGGTTGTTCCCTAGCTTTCCCTAGATCGACGCGAATTGCTGAGATCGGGTCCAGTTCGAACAAGCGAGCAACTCGGAGCAATTCGAAGACGGTTGAAGCAGCTGCAGCCAATCAGAGACGCAATATTTTCACGTGACACCCCGGTGGTGGTGATGATGACAGCTAAAGACTTAGTTCCGGTTTGGAATGGATAGTTTTCGGAAATAAACAGTTTCAGAAAAATTAGTTAGTATTCTCAACGCCGTTCAAAGATATAAGAACACGTTTTTAGCGCGTAGCTGGGCATCTAAATAGTGAAAAAAGAATCAAATTTAATGATGACGATGGCAAGTCGGAGCAATTCGGTTGCTGCGTGTGAACGCGGGCGGCCCGTGTTGCTGGTGTTGCGACGTCAAATTGCTGGGTGAAATTGATCCGTCTGAAGCGGGCCTTAAGAACTGGGCTCCCATCAAGTCCTACTTTCTGAGTCAAAGCGAGGAGGAGTGCGAAAAAATAATTTGGATATTTATTGGCAACCAAGCCGATGGACTTTCGGTGTGTATCACGCTTCCGGAGTGCTATCTGCACTTTATGCACTCGTTCCTTGCAATGTTTCATTCAACGATCCTCACCCTCGAAAAGAGTCGTCTTGAGCCGACAGAACTTTATGCTAGAATGACTAAGCTCAGGAAGCAGCTGATTAACCGGAAGGATGATATGTTCTTCGGTGTCAAGGCTAATCACGGACTTGAAACCCTTCCGGGTGGACAGGCTGCAATGCTGGACTTCGTGAATGTTTATGACAGGGCCCTTGCGCACCTTGGAAAGTGGTTTGACTTCGAGAATTCCCCATTAAAAAGGCTCGCCGAATTGGATCTGCGCAAAGGTGCACCCAGCATGTCAGTCGTAATGAATGCGGGGGAGCTTTTTGGCATTAACTTTGAAGAGGAAGGCAATGAATTGTACTCAGAGCTTTGTCTTTTGAGGGATACTCTCCCTGGACATCTAGGACATGACGAGAAATCAAGCTCAATCTGGCTCAAATTCTTGAAAGAGGTCAGGTGCCCCCATTTGCAGAACCTAATGGAGCATGTTTTCTCCATTCCTTGCAGCAACGCGTTTGTGGAACGCGTCTTTAGCGTGATGGGGAACTTGTGGACGGATGAGAGAAATCAGCTAAGCGTCCCAATGGTTAAAGCGGAGCTCTGTGTGCGGTATAATTTGGTGTACAGCTGTGAAGATTTTCTAAAGATGGCGAGAGAAAACAAGCAGCTCATCCAAGCAGCTAAGTCGAATTCGAAATATATGTTCAAGTTCCGCAAATAGAAAAAGGCAAGCATAAAAACTGTTACAATTTTGTTTTTCTGCGTTGTTTTGTGTATTGCATATTGTGCGTGTATGTATATGATAATATCCGATACATTGTGGCACATGCACTGTATACTTTTTAACGGACGTAATATGCCACTGGTTTGGTGGATTTAGTCGCAAAGAGCATTTTATGGACGAAGTATGTGCGGTTATTTTTCAGTGCCGCACATGGGGAGCCAGTAAATGCAATTTCTCGAAAAGGGTCTGCGAGTGGCGAGGCAGCATGTTACCTTTTTTTTTGTGTTGGTAGTATGTTGTTTTTATGGCTGTCATAAGTGGTTATGTGAATTTTGTGTTTTTGTATCTGTAGTATGTTGTTTATGTCACAAGACGTTATGTGAATTTTGTATTTTCTTTAACATAGATTAAGAAATGTTTTATTTCAAAGAGGCGGTTTTGATTATTTGATCACATAGAGTATTCTCCTCTTTGTACATAACTAATGTGTGCATGTGGTTTTCGGTTGTACTGCCAAACTGAAGACGGGCACCAGACTTTGTCAAGCTGCCTCTGGCAGCTTTTTGTTTGGGGGCACCGTTGGCTCAAGGCCATAAATAAAGTTAATCTGATTTGAAGTGACGTGATCTACTCGTCCAAAACCCCGAGCTGGCGACTTCAGAAAAAATATGGATTAGCGCTCAGTCTACACGAGTGTAATGCTTTCTGAGAGCAGCAACAAAAACCTCAGTCACTTTTAGTACAAATGTTACTCCATTCACTGATGTTTTTATGCCAACCAGCAGACTAGTTGATTCTCCATCTGCTGTGCGCAGCAAGTTAGTCAGAAATGTCTTTATTTTTCACTAAAGAGAGCATATAATTGCAAATATTATTGAGCTCAGTACTGTGCATTTGTGTACATGTACATTATACTAATTCCTCTCTAGGAAATCATTCGTTACAATAAATTGCACTGCCTATCAAAGACGAACATGGCATCTTCCTTTCAACACAATTTCAATATACCCCCTCCCCCCCCCGTCGAAGGGGGGCCGGTTTTCTTTTTTTTTTTCGGGGAAAGGTGGCATACCTATTATCATGGCATTTAATGACATTTAAAGATAGCGTATGGCAGGATCCAAGGTTAATGTCGTTCGTAATCATAATGACATTAGCTGGAAAGTGTATTAAATTGTGCCGTATGGCAGGCGTATAACACTCTGATGATGTGCTCTTGTGACTTGCGTCTCCACCAATTTCGGTCTCGTACGATGACTCAATATTTTGTGATGTTTGCACAGCTGTTAATTGCTATAAAAAATGCATAGTTCACCCTTAAAATAGCAAAACCACATTTGCGCCTCATTCAGCGGGACACCTCAACTCGAGACCGCGCAGCGCAAAGTTGAATATTCGAACGCGCTGACGCCCAGAGTAGTTTAGGTCTGGATTGCTATTTTGTTACCTGGAAACTCTGTTTTCGACCTTACAAGCGGCTTAGACTGCGGAGCCTGGAATGCGTCTTTGACCGTTTGTGTTTCGCGTCCTATCTTGCCCATACAGCAAAAGTGGTTCTAAAGGGGCAACAGATGACGTCACAGAAGCCCGAGTGTAATGCTGTGGCATGTCGCGATCCTGGCGGTTAGTGCTATGGTCGGTGACAGATTAAGAGTAAAGGGAAAGCTCCTCCCAGCTCTTTCCACTTTATCAGAGCGAACGCTGGAGAGGAGGCGACCTCCTCTCCAGTGTTCGCTCTGCTAAAGTGGAAAGGGGTGGGAGGAGCTTCCACCTGTGTGTCGCTGTCTTTGCGGAGTCTCAACTCCTGGCTGTTAAGGCCTGCGTGGACTGTCAATGTGGAGAGCAACCTGCAGCAAATAAGGCGTCTGCCATATCCACCCCCGCTGCTCTGACGCCGCCAGGATCGCCGCGGGCAACGACATGACACTTCTATGACATCGTCAGGTGGAAATCGAGGGACCAAACGGGTCGAAGACACGTTCCAGGCACCCTGTAGTCCAGACTAGGTTGTTGAGCATTGCGGACTGACCTGGAACACGCGGTCCACGTGGTCGCGCAGTGCCCTCTCGTCCGTGCTTGAGCGGCGGCCCAGGAGCGCGTACACCGAGCAAACGACGTCCCTAAGCTCCTGGCGTGTGATGAAGCCATCGCCGTTGACGTCGTACAGCGAAAAGGCCCAACGCAGTTTCTCCTGCACGCTTCCGTAGCACAGCAGCGACAGGCAGTAGAGCAGGTCCTGCGGGCCCCACCGTACGCATCAAAGCGAAGGTCATCGTGGGCTGGCTCAACTGAACGCTTTGCTCTCGTGAAGTGGCAATCAATCACTCTATTCCTTCTCCAAAGAGCGAGACTGTTGAGAATAGCTACAAATGTTTTGGTGCTAGAAAAAACAAAAGCTCGCATTTGCCTTACGGACGTTCATTGTGACATTCACACGGTTGCAAGAAACAAGCAATCATTTACACATATTGGGCGTTTCTGCAAAGACTTTCAAAAATTCCTACAACAAGAGTGGTTGAGAAGGAGCTATTTTCGGGAACAAACTGCCAGCCGCGGCAAATGTCAAAGATTGCAACAACAGAAACAAACAAAAAACTAATTAGCAAAACGATTACCTTAAGTTCACCTATTACTTTTTTCATTTGTGAAAATAAACCAATGGTTACATTTGGAAACTTGATGAGCGTCATCGAAAACTCTTAAACCAGTCAATGTGATCGAGGATGACTTGAAGCACGTGGAAAGCGCCAGGATGCGCTAAAGTTAACAACATTTGTGCAGCAGGCACAAGGCCGGTGATGCGAAAACACGGATGATATTCTTATCATTTGCCTTTTCGCAACTTTTCGAGAGTCTTTGCAGAAACGCCCGGCATATATATATACTCTTTCTCATAAGTTGTGTGCAGCGCAGTACAAGTGGTGTAGGTTAAAATACTTTACTTGAAAGCTTTGTTTGCAAAGTGAAGCTGCTATTACGGAGGAAGATTAAATAGTTTGCCCAAATTTAAAGGCGCAGTTATTACGTGAGCAAAAACAGGGGTTCGTTTCAGAAACGGCAACGACACAGGTTCATAGAAAACTCCACATTTTACAATAGAGTTGGTAGTAGCTGTTTCATATATTCGGACTAATCATGTGGAAAGAGCGGCATTCCACAACCTCAAACTGATTCCTTAGTGCAATGCTCTCTGCGAGCATTGCGCGGACGCCAGCTATGACCCCCAAGACAAGACGGGCACGACTGCTACATTGGGCCAAGAAACGCAGACCACATACACACACAAAGACGCTCCATCTCCCACCAGTATGGAAACCTTAGCCATAGTGGAGGCCATCAGGGACCACGCAACCAAGGGAGATATCACAATCAGAACCGACAGCCAAGGGGCCATACGCAACTTCAGGGGCAATGCCCTTCTCACACGCATTACAACTATGCTAACAGACACCATGATCAACCATCCTCAGACCACGGTGACCATAGACTGGGTACCGGGGCATCAGGGCATAAAGGGGAACGAGCTTGCTCATGAGCTCGCCCGCGAAAACCTCAATCCGGGCGTCCCCATCCCATGATTCATTCCTACGACCCCTACATTCATGGGCATCTATGCATAAACAGAGAAAAAGGACACTCAAAGAGCTCCGAGAAAACAAAACATTACTAAACAGAAAAGACTCATCTATAGTGCGGAGAGCGCAGACTACAAGCCTCATGACTGAACACCTTAGACACTACAGGGTGATTCAAGGAGAGGCCAGTGGGGGCTATGTTGCGCTTTTTGCACTCCCAGGAGACTAGGGAGAGGGAAGTGACGTCAACGACACAGCAAACGCAGATTGGGTGTTGATTTCGTTTTCTTCTGTCAACATCCAATCTGCATTTGCTGTGTCGTTGACGTCACTTCCCTCTCCCTAGTCTCCTGGGAGTCCAAAAAGCGCAACATAGCACCCCTGGCTCTTTAAATCGACCGCAAAATTCGGTTTCTTAACCTATCGCGCTACAACTTTGTGCAGCGTTGTCCACAGATGGTGCTTTTTTTTTTTTTTTTTTTGTAAAATTTGCAAAGAGCTAACTTACCTGAGGAAAAATTAAATAAAGAAAAAGGCTTAGCTCCTATGGAAGCGCAGCGACGCCACCGGTATTCAAACAACACGGCGCTGTTTAGACCTGTGCGCCGGTCAGAAATCGCCGGCGGCGGCGCGCCGGTGTTTGTACCTCCGGCGGCGGCGTGTTGACGGCGTGGGGATCAACGGATCGGCGGCGGCGTGGCGCGGAAGAGGGAGGGGAGGTGGGGGGTGTGAATTAGAGAGTGAGGGGGAGAGAGAAAGGAGTCATTTGAATTTGGAAAGCAAGATGCAAAAACCATAAAAAGGAACACACTACTTCTTCCATTTTTTTCCTGAGAGGTATACATTGGCCTTCGCTGTGAAGAGTGCGTCTGTTAGAAGAATCAGGTACTTCGGCGTCTTGTTTATTCTCGTTTGTAAGAGAATATATATTGCCGGCTGGCAGCCGCGGCGAGGACCGACGACAACAGGTATTTTATCACCGCGTTCACTTCACCACGCGCTTGTCGCGCGCCCCGTGCCTAACAAGTCGACCGACACGTCCTTCGATTTCTAGAACTCGTACTCTCATTCGGTACGCCGCAAGCCGTCATCACCGACAACGACAGGGTCCTAACCTCTCGTTCGGCTTCGCGGCACTTCGCCGACAGGCACATTCAGAGCATCCCTAACAGTACTTTACGCTCCCGAAGGTAACGGCTTTGTCGAACGCGCCAACGGAAAAATCTTTCCATGTCTGCGCGAAAGAACGTCAACGGCGACATCGACCATTGGAGCGATTATCTCCAGGCAACCAGCTTTCAAGTGAACCAGCAGCCGTACGCCGGACTCCAGACATCACCGTTCGAACTCCTGTTCAAATTTGTCCCACGTCGACCAATGGAATTTTCCCCGCTTCCCGACGAGATCGGCGACGTCCGCGCGAACTGCGACGCTGCAAACGCGAACTTCGCTTACCTTCACGGCATGAAGCGTTCCTACGATGCAAAACATCGACCAGCTTCATACAGCGTCAGGGACACGGCAGGGTTCACGAACGGCCTTCCTACCTCGAAACTTGGCCTACAATCAAACCTGCACCATTTCCGGGTTAACCCCGCAAGACACACCGGATTGCCGCCAAGCTGCCGCACCATAGCTCTTTTTTTTTTTTTTTTACAAACAACTTGTAGTGATTGACGTCGATTTCAAGCAACTCGCCTTGCACCGCGGCAGATCCTCCGATTACAAGCGCATCACGCCGACGCCGCCCTCCACGATGGCTAGACGCATAGCAGAGGATCATGACAACATTAACAAAATGTGCAAGGGCGCAAGGTTTTTGAGCTCGGGAGTGTAAGCAAATACGCTGGCGGCAAAGACCCGTAAGGAGAGCCTCCCCGACTCGACCGGATGGGGGTTCGACTTCGGCCCCCGATGCTGGATCCCGGCGTGGAAACGAGAAAGGAGGACCCGTAGAAACACGACGTGACAGGAACAAGCCAGGCGTGTGGATCAAAATAAAATACGTTTGAAAGAAGCCTGAAAACGGACTCGAATATAGCCCTCTTGTATCAAATTAGTTCACAAAGTTTTCATTAAATCGGTTTGCAGTCTACAAAATCGTTCATTCCGTTATAACACTTTTAAAACACAGGCGAGCTGGTGAAAAACTTCAATAGTAACGGGAGACACGGAACGATAAAAATAACGGACAAGACAACAAGTTTCAAACACAGCTTTTATACCCGTTTTCACGTCAAGAACTCTAGTAAAAAGAGTCCGACTCCTCACGAACCATTACTAATTTCCACCTTTATGCGGAGAATTAAGATATATGTGGCTGGATTCTACTATATATATTATCGAGACGTACACGTTCCAGCGCCAAAATCATCGCTTTTTTCTCCGACGACCGAATCTCGTAAGTCTTCGCGTCGTTGTTTCATGTATGCGCTCTCCCCCTCTGTAATGCATTTGGGCCCTGAGGGTACTTTAATAAATAAATAAACGCTCAAAACTTTCTTTTTTTGTTGGAAAAAAAAGGGTATAGTTTTTTTTAACAACGAGCGCTCTTATATATACGCCAAGACCCTCACCACCAAGAAGAACTCTTAAAAAAAAAGGTATCACCATACACCCTTTTGTCCCATATAACGCACCCCAAAACTCTAGTTCGACGCACAGACGGCCATACATTTTACGAGGGTCTTGATAACGGAGCGATATAACTTATTAAATAGCTAAAGTACGTATCAAAGACCACATAAAGAAAGCACTGAGGTTTTGCAGTAGGGCCAAGAAAACCTCGATTATTATTATTATTTTTTTTTTTTGTAGTCAGTAAAACGTACATTAGCTATTTTAATAAGTTGTACCACACGGCTATCAAGCCTCCCGTGAAAGTTGGTACTGTCAAATCGACGTCTGAAGTTTTGGGGTGTCTTATATGAGACAAAGGGTGTAAGAATACTCTTTTTTTTTAGAGTGTAGGTCACTGAAAGTCGGACACTCAGACAGATACAAATGATTCATGGTCACACCAACCTGCCACGCAGACGACCCCGCTTGATGACTGACCAGCCACATGCGATAACAGGCAACTCCATCAGAACCCTTACTAATATGATACACGCGTGACGAGATGTCCCGATCGATGAAACGATCGTGTCGACAAAACGTGTGTCCGTGAAACGTGTGCCCATGAAAAGTTGTCTGCGATACGTAATTCCACGAAACGAGTTTCGACGAAATGAGAGGGTCCCGTACACCACTCCTGCCTGAAAAGTTACATCTGGGTTCTTATGTTTCTTTCTGGCGCCCCTGAGGACCACCAGAAAGGAAGTTGACCTTTCTAATATGTGCTGAGGTTTGAAAACTAAATTTACACCGAACCTATTTGCCACTGATATAAAGTTATGAGAGATCCATGGTAGTAAGGCACACACACAACATTCTTCACAACCGGGTTTTCCACAGGCGCCGGATTAAACCTTCAGCACCTTGAGCACAACCCTAACAATTACATCGTGGTGATGGCCCGCTTCCAAACGACGCATCTTTTGCAACTCAACTGCCTCAACAACCCGAAACATAAGGGATTCTTTACAGGCGTTATCCATCGCAGAGGCAATTAGACCACTCTTAACTATTTTCAAGTGACAGCTGTCAGCTGCCAACAGAG